AAAAACTGAGCAGATTAAAATCTCTAAACTGTGAATCGACTACTTTGCAAAACTTGATCTCATACTTAATACAGTCCTTAGTGTAGTTCAAACATTTACCTAGATACTTTGCTTTCCCTCCCCTGTAGAGCCGAGTTCGTTAAGAGTAATTTATTAAAAATGCTTTATACCTGGAAACTCTAAAAAGAGGATGCCATGCGAAACCTTGTCATTGAGTGTCAAAAGAAAAAAAAATGGATGCCAAAGTAAACACAACAGCCACTCAAGCCTGACTAAAATACCACAGGGAGCCCATGGGAGCTCAAAGAAGCCACAGGACCACTTCCAAAAGCGCGTGAAAATGCAAGGGACTCAGTTCGATCAGGGAAAGTTTGAATCTGGTAATTATGGTTTTATCAACTGAATAATCTTTTTATCAAACGTCAGCTTTCAAACTCTCCACGGTAGCCAACTTACTTTATCAACTCAGCTGATAAAACCATAATGAGCTTTTTATACTCCCCCACCGAGGCAGCACTATAGTTTCCTTAGGAACATACCCCCTTCAGAAGATTGAATCTGGTTGGTTGAGATGATGTAACGGGTTTCTAAGGCCTTACTGAAGATATTGGTGGGACCTAAAACATTACAATCAGAGGAAATTGGCCCTAATAAACTGCTTTAAATTGAACGTTTTGTTCACCTTATTGTATGAAAGCAAAGATTCATGGGATGCTTCAGTTCTGTAATTTAACTTTTATTCAGCAAATAACCATTGTTGTCCCATGCAATAAATGTTACCTCCACCTTGTTCGAAATTTCCGTTAAGTTGTATGAAATCTTTCACCGTTCCTAACACCACAGTTCATACTAAAATAATTTATCTGCCGTAAATCCTCTATAACGCCCCCCTCTGATAAGCCCCCCCTCTAATATGCCCCCTCCTTAGGAGGAAGAAATTTATTAAGTCCTCTCCTCTATTGAGCCCCCCACCCCTCTCCCTCAAAGACAACAATTAAAAAAAACACGCCCTGTCGGGAGGTATGATCAATTTATTCAAGTGCTGTAATTTTTAGCTTTTCATTTATAATTGATTATGGTGATTGATTGATCGATGTTATCATGTTGGCATCAATGGAATACGGTATACGGGTAATACAGAGCGATGCCAAAAATATAACATGGCTAAACAAGGTCCATTGAGAGAGTTATATCATAAAATTGAGTTCTTTATTGTCGCCTGCTTGACTTCCAGCTTCATGTGCTCAAGTTTTTCCTATTTTTCGCTCTAGTTCTCTGTGGGCAATCTTAAAAGTCTTCTTGTTGTTCACAACTGCAGTATACCGCCCCGGAAACACGCGCCCATCCTCGAGAAACCTTGCCTTGTTCATCTGACTTTAGGTTACCGTTTTGTTTCTGCTTTACTGATTTAGAAGATGATTATGACAATTCAAACAACTCATCAGACCTTACTGAGGATTTTGATTCTGTCAATTTGGTAAATGAAAAAATGTAAAATGAGGACAATTTTTGAATAAATACGGTACATCATGCCATTGTATCCTGGTAGTGAACATCGGGATATATTTTTAAGCCACCCCCCTCTATCAAGCCCCTCCCTCTAACGGGCCACCCCCCAACGTACCTGAAATAAATAACCCCCGGGGGGGGGAGCTTATTAGAGGATTTACGGTATTTAGGTTTCGTTTTTTAAAACCTAGGAAACAGCGCTGTTAGGCTGTTCTCGTTTCAAATTAGTCGTGCCTGATTGAAAAGGGAAAAATTTTTGGGCACAATTCTTTGACGTTAAGGAGAAATAAAAGCGGAGGGAAAATAAGTTGTAAGATTTGAAAATGTTCTTGGTCGCATGAAAGTGAAGTAGTCAGTACTGATTTTCAAAATATCACAAATATTTGATGTAGATTCTTAGGAGATATCCTCATACTGGTTAGTTTAACATTTTAACGATGAAAATCGCGAATTACCTGCCCTGAGTGATCAAAAATCGCAGGGGATCTGCAAATTCCCCCTATATCAACCTATGATTCGATTCAAAAGATGCTACGTTGCAAAGGAAAATTACTAAAAGCAGGGAACGGGGCGACCGTCTGACACTCTTAAAATACCCCAGTATCTTCATTTACCTGGATAATACTCGGGAACTTAGGCAAAAGGAACAGTGATAAAGTAATATACAAATTAAGAGTAAGGTCGCACCATTTTTTTTTCCAAGAGAAAGCGGCAATTTTATTTTATGTTAATAACAACAAAGTTTTTAAAGTCAAGAAAAACTCATAGTGTTCTTGTCTTGACTAACATTTCAGTCGAATTTTTCGTAACGTCGATAAGAAAAAGCGGCAGTTTTCTCCCTTATCCTGTTTACATAATGGTGACCTTGATGTACTTGATACCAACTTTCTCGCAAGCCCTGTCTTTGTAAACTTCAACATTTACATCGTTCCAAACGAATTATTTGTTTATTTATTCATAATTTAAATTCGCACTATTTTAAGTAAGACTTAAGCTTGCTCTTTTAAAAGAGACTTCTGCTTGTATTTTATTGGTTAAACGGAGACTGGCGGCA